CATTTAATTCACTATGCTTTTTAAAAATACTGTTATATTTTACAATGTGCATAGTTATGAAATATTTCATAATAAAAATACATAAAAATTTGGGAACTAAATAAATATATTCCTTTAAAAAAACACCTCTGGAAGATGCATAGGAACACACTGGTGAGGTTTTCAAGAAATGACATAAAGTATTCAAACTATGTAAGGTGGGATGTTTATAGTATAGATAAATTAAAGTATGAATGCTTCCAACATGCTCATGCTACTGGCTAGATAATATTTCAACAACATAGAATGTGAAGAACTACATTTTTGTAATTCATAAAACTAAAGATACATGAGAGAAAAAATATTATCAACAGTCAATAATTTCTTTAATAAAAATTGTTGTGGTAACACAATGAAGTATTGCCATCAATGGAATTAGGACTTTGGCTTCAGTCAAAATAGGAATTTGAAGAGAGGTCTCATCTGTGAACTGCTGCTGTGCTTCCTAAAAGTGTTGGGGAGTCTTCTTTCCTTTCTGGATTATCTCTTCTATAAATACTGTCTCTGAACAAGGAGGATTTAGATGAGTAAAAGAGGACATCTAAAGAGTGTCAAGTGAAGACTGAGTGGCACTAACACTGACTTTGTCACTGAATTTTACCCAATCTAGGAAAAAGGAAGAGTAATCAGGAACAAAAATTGCCTATAGTACCTCTGTAATCCAAGCTAAAATATTTTTTTCATATTTGTTCTAAGGGTCGGATGTTCTAGAATTGCTGTCTCCTTATTTGGTGAAACTAGTGTCTCTCATTCTTAATATTAAGAAACATGCTAACTGCTGTACTTACCAGACCCTTTGAATTCTTGCAATAAGCATTTTCACTCCCAAATAAACAACACTTAATTTAAAACAAGCTGAAATTTGTTGTAAGAATTTTTTTTCTTTGAACTTTTCCCTTTGAGGAACAGCAAATTATATTAAATGAATGAAAAATAATTATCTCAGATTTTTCATTAAAAGCATACTGATTTTCCAGGTTGTTTCATTTGAAGATGCCTGGAGGTTTAGACATTGAGCTAGAGTAAAATTCTGAGGTGTCTTTTTGAATAATACTAAGACTTATTTGTGAGGGAAAGTACTAGTAACTCGATTCCTTTTTTTGTAAATGCTAATTGATTTTTGATACCTAGAGCTCATTTCTCATGGAAACAATATGAATGATGGTTGATCTAGCTGCCTATTGGAACCTAACAAATAGATTCCCCCAGGTACAGTTAGTGTCCTTTTGAGGTCATCCTTTCCTTTCCCAGTTCCTTTTCCTCTCTAAGAACATTTCAGCTATGTTTAGAGAGTAATATAGGATTGATGGACAATGCATCTATATCTACCCACCACTTTTATTTTAGATACCAGTAGGGAGTCCTGTTAATGTTCATGCATGTCCTGCAGTGAGAGAAGTTGGTGGATCCTGGAAAATATCTCTTTTTATGTGCAGCATAGGAATGTAATTCTTAGATAAGAATGCTTCTAAATCACTTCCAGGAATCTGAGGGACTACTGAATATCTATAATCTTCAACAGTAACACATGATCATTACCACCTTTAGCAGTAAAAGTGGCAGCAAATTATCACCTCTATCATCTACATGAGAACTCTGTAGTTCTATTGACAAGAATTTTCAGGGAGACAAATTTTAGCTCCAAACCATTTTTTATCTTTCTACCTACAATGAAATTAATTGTGGCTCATGCCATAATTTTATCTTTAAACCTTTATCTATTTACTTCTTTTCTTATTATATATATATATATATGTATATGTATGTATGTATATACATATATATGTATATATACACATATATCTTGCATGGTTAATTGCAATTAGAGAAAATATCAAAAATTATTGACTTACTAAGCAATTATTTACTAAAAGTTTATTTATGTCATGTACTTTTCCAGATATTTGAGATACATAATAAATAAACAAATTCTCTATCACTATAAATCTTGAGTTTTGGTGAAGAAAACAGTAAATTAAAAAATAAATAAAAATTAAGCAAATTATACATTTTATAAGAAGGGGATAGATACATGCTTTAGAAAAAGAAGGGAGTCAGAGGATTAGGAGGAGGGGTGTCAAATATAGCAACTACAGTGAGACAGGGAAGCACTTGAGCAAATGTTAAATGTATATACTTTTCACCAATATTATTGTTATTATAGACTTAAAATTTATTTCGGAGCAATTCTTAATTTTTTTGAAATTATTAGGAACTTCCTATTTACTACATACCAAATTTCATATGGATCAGTGTGTATACTATTGTCCTTGGAAGGAAATATAGCTTTAAAAAATGAAGTAAGATTACTGGTCATCTTGGGTTTCTTTAATTGGATTTGTTCAAGGATTTGGATTAAAGAAATATTCTTAATTTTGTACTAAACAAATAGGGATTCAATGAATAATTATAGTTTTCATTAGAAATCAAATTCATCTTTTTTGGAAGGAACATGGCAAAATGGTGCAAATTATTTAAAAAAAAATAAACCTAAGCTTTACATATTGTCTAATTGTTGAAATATACTTTAAATCACTCACCCCCAACAGGAAGTAATATTTAGATCTTCTTTGGCCTATAGGTCAAGTTCAAAGTGAAACTACAGAGGTTTTATTTTGCTAACCTACCTACTCCAAGATGACAGAAGACCAAACATATAAATGTAAATGTCCCTTATATTTTATAGTTAGATAAATTGCAGTTTCTTCCATATAATCTCATAGTGTTCAATTACCTAGTAAACCTGGCAGAGAACAGGTGCAGTTCATTATCATCACAACATGACCATATATGTTTATTTCTAAAAGAGAGTTATAATTGCTAAGAAATCAAGACATATCTTAAAGTACTATATATAAAATAGTCCTTTTGTGCAAGTTCTTAAAACCAGTTTTCTAAGAGCTAAAAAAAAAGTCCTTTAATTTTCCTTTTATATAAAGCTTAATTTTTAAATACTGGGTACTAGAAAAACTGTAGGATCAGCATTTAGTTTTGGTTTCCACTCCTTAACTTGGATATCAAATCTTCATTACCTAAAATGCACCCAAATTATCTTACCATTCTCCATGGAAAAGTTAGTCTCCATTAGAACAATGGAGGCATCTCCAACACCTTTCTCTTTCTCATCCCCAGTGCCCGATTAATCAAAAAGCTCAGGAGCTCATATCCCCTTGCCATGAACAGTGTTAGCAGAGTGAGATTCCCAAAGGCAGATGTTGTATGCTGCCCACCATCTCTCAGGCTCTCTATTTCCCATCAAATGAACTGTAAAACTTCTTTGCATTGCATGAAGAGCGATCCTTAATCTAGCCAATCTAATTAACCACTGGACTCAACACAGCAGCTAATCACCTCTAGTACTCCTGTAGAAGAGGTGTCTGGAAAGCCAACTGTCTACAGAGTTGGGTCTTTGAATGAGGTATACCCTCTGATTAGAATGCCAATTCCTTTCCTCATGTTTTGCATTCACTTAATCATTCATTGGTAAATATCTATTGAGTACCTTCTCTGTGTCAGGCAATAGAATATGCTAGGGTTTACCACAGTGCAAAGGAGCCATGTGCCTGTTCTCATGAGGTTTTCATTCCTCCGCTTGCACACACTATCATCTTCTCAGACCCCGGGTCTTCACAGTGTGCTCAGATTGAACTGATTCTCCTGCTTCTGACAAGCTTGGCCTCTGTGCAAGCCTCTGTTTTGGTATTTATGTCAGACTTGTTTTGGAAGCCCATATTTGCCACTAGATCCTTAGCTGCTTACAATAGAGTGGGCCTTTTCATCAGCAAACCATCCTACAATTCTCTGGACAGAATTGAGTATGAAATCACATTTAAAGGACTTTGACTCAAAGTTTAAGTGTCCTGCCAGAAAACTAGCTTTCTAAAGGTGACCACAAGAAAGTTACAGAGTGCATAAATATTCTTTCTTGTCAGGCTTGCCAATTTTCAGGATAGTTTTTGAAGTGCACTTCCAATGCGTTATTTTGAGACATACCTGGATGACTATTGATTTTTTAATTATTTAAAAGAATTACTTCTATCCCTAATTATAACAATGTTTTAATAAGTATATTTGCAATTTGCCTCTTTAAAAATCCTTAATCTACATGTAACTAATGGCTTAAAACTAATCTGTGTGTGTATTTTCTCTTTATATAGAAATTGCTCTTTCCTTGAAGATTTCTGTAAACTAGGAGAGTGTTTGTTTGTTTTTGTTTTTGTTTTTTCCCTATTGAGCTGCATGATAATGCATGATAACCTGAGGATGAAACATATACCCCACTCTTCTATTGCTAATGCCATGGTTACCGTAGGACTATTTCTATGCAGGATTATTTTACAGTGTGGTCTCAAGATATATTGCTCCCAGTGCAACCTAGTATCCTACTTTCATATTGATTTATTCTGGGAAAGAAATTCTATGGGATAGTTTACAAAGATTGCCTTCCTTCCTTTAATATCTAGAATGAGTATAACTCTTTCACCTTTATTTGACAGAAAAAACTCATGAGTTCTGTGTTGAATTTTTTATTGGCAATGGAGACACTAAAACTATGTGATCATTTATAATTATATGAACAGAAGTGCTCAAAGTTCATAACCTGGAACAATGAGAATGCTCCTTATGAAAATCAGGTTATTGGGTCAACAATATTTTCATAAGAAAATGAAACAAATTCTGAGACTAGAATTTTATTTCTTAACTACATTGCTAACTGCCATCATTTTGATTCTAGTAGAAAGAGAAAATAATGATGCTAATTTTCAGAGCCTAAAGTGTATGATGATTTCAGTCTATCCTTGAAGCCTTACCAAACCATCAGATCACACTTAGATTTAGTCAGGCAAAGTATTTTTGGGGCAAAGAAGCAAGTACCATGTTTTAAAATACATATTTTATACAACAACAGCTCTAATGTAATTTCATATATAATTATTTAGAAAGAACCAAAATTCATATACCTTTTCCATATCCATCTTGCTTGAAACTTTCTCTGCATCATTACTGTATCTGAAAAATAAATTGGCCCTGTTTATAATCTTATTAAAATATAATTTGGAAAATCCTAATCAAAATGTCAATGTTCTTTACTTTGGTTTTGTTTTCTCTTTCTTCTTATTTGTTTCTTGTCCAATAACAGTTTCTGCAAAACATTAAGTAAAAGGAAAACAATTTAAATGAGGGTTTATCATTGGGTTTTCAAGTGCGTGTGTGCGCGCGTGTGTATGAGAAAATGGAATTATTACTAGAAATTACAAATGAAAAAATTCACTTTATATTGATATAGCATTCATCTTAAAAAAGTATTTTAGAAACACAAACATTCCCTACATTTTTCATTGCATAAAAGCAGTTCATCAGAGCCAGAAATAGCCACAGTAATATTTGCTGTTGTATACAAATAGAATGTAGGAATTAAAGACTGCCAATATTGAGCAGTAAAGTAATTTTAGGAAAGGAAAAAAATTAACCTGGAAGTCTCCTGAGAGAGACATAACAATGTTTCATTGGATTGACTGGAGAGTAGAAAAGGCATTCTTCCTCTTTTTGCCAGAAAATAGTAATTCAACAAATAGTTTAAGGTAAAATATTTGCATAATGTAATTTCTTTGTAGAGATATTAGGGACTATAGAAGGAGGAAGATTAAATTCACACTGTGCATATATGGATAGTTAATTCAAAATATAACCCATGATTCTTGAAAGTATGCCTGTTGCCCAAATGACTAGACCCCACTGAAGCCGTATCAACATGATACCATCAACTTCCAGGACACGGTTGGCAGATTCATTGTAATAAGTCATCTGAGTGGCCTCGGCCTCTGCTTCAGCCCTGATGATCTGCTGTGCCACAGCTTCCACAATGGGCATCACCATGGCAGTAGTAGAGGTGTTGCTAAGCCACATGGATAGGAGGGCAGTGCTGCTCATGAATCCCAGGGTCAGCCTGCAAGGAGAGAGTGTCACATGGATCTCAGCTCTGTCTCCAGAGGCTCTTAGTTAATTGTAAAAGAGAGTAGTTGCTTGTGAGTTAGGAGTTAAATTTTTCAAAACATGGAAAGTTAAGGTTCCTCCCAGAGGGTGAATGCTGAGTACAGTCATACATAGGTAGAAATCAAAGTAACACATGTAAGAGTGGAGTTTTCAAGGGATCTATCTCCTAGGGAACTATAAAAATTCTTTCTCTGAAAAACAGAAAAAAAATCACTAAACTTACACCAAATTGCAAGTTGGTATGTGCCTAACAGCTTGTAATTTTACACTAATACATGAATACTCTTTTCAGATGACATCTTCAGATACAAGTAAGATGGAATTGCAATCAACTTTTGAATTTAGGGCCCCTTACTTTTTATCTTTTGGGCATATATCTTTTTATTAGTATGTGTGCCAAGGGGATACAAGAACAAGGAGAGAGATATTTATACAACGTCTCTTTCCTTGTTACTCTTCTGGTTCAATAATATATGATAGAGAAAATAGTTAAGTCACTTGCTAAAATGAGGTTGCAGAATTTTCTGTAGATTCTGTTACTTAGCTTTCCTGAATTGGCATTCCTTCCTGTTGTCAGGAACAGACTTTATTATATTCTCTTTTAGAGTAGTTGATTTTTAAATATAACATACCTAAGACTTTAGGATTTTAAACCATCACACTTGGGAAAAAACATGATCTCCTTTGAGTAGGAAGCCTTAAAAATTCATTCAGAACCCGTTTATAATGTTCTCTGACTTTCTTTTAAAATAGATTTACAAGAACAATTAGGTGCTATGCCTCTGACTCAGGTATAATGAATGTTTTCTGTGTTTCTATTTATTTTACTTTATCAAAGAAAAAGTGAAAAAAACTTTTAGAAATATACTTAAATAAGAAATGATTAAAAAACAATAGAAGTACTTTTAATTCATGTATCTATTAGATGTGCAATCTTCCTATTTAAAAAAACAAAAAAGGTTGATGTGAGGAATAGCTTCTGGTGAAAACACCTTAAATTGAAAAGCCACTTAGTGACATAATGGACAGGACTTTTGTCCTATTGTGCAGTACATTTTACCCAGCTCTAGGGCAATGACCAGAAAAGATGCACTTCTATAGTACCTAAGAGGTATGGACCACCATTTCATATATATGTATATGTTATACAATTTTAAGTAACTTTTTCCAAATTGTTTGATATGAGTCATATATATATATATATATATATATACATATACATTACATATACATATACATATGTATATCCATTGTATTTAGCAAAACAATTTGTTTCATAAATAATAAACACACATGCAGCTATGCCCTTGAAGGAATTATATAACTGAAGTCAATAAAACTTTCTTATTTTCCAAAGAAAGATGAAAAGGAAAAATATCACCTAAGGCTTTCAAGCAAAATATCACTATGCAAATGATTCTGACACTGGAAATTTTCTTTAATTTATGTTCATGTGCTTAACAGGAGATGGAATAAAATCAAAATAGCTAATTCATTTAATAAAAAAAACAGTCATTTCAGTGAGGCTAAAATCAGTCAAAGGAGTGATTTTGCATTCTATAGATGGATGTTCTTAATTGATTGTTTCACTTTACAATAGTTGATTTAAAAGAAAAAATGTTCACCTTGGAATTTTTCAGCACACATTTGTATTTTGTCAGTAATGTCTTTGTCTTTGGTTTATAACATCCTCCCTGTTGATAAAAGATGCTCTTGAACAAGTTCTGAATGTGTAATCACAAATAAACAAGATAGGAATAAAATCTCCTCTGAAGTCTATCAATCTTGCCTGTTGAAGTTCAAGGCTTCTCTCATCTTTGAGTCCAATGGTGCATTAAGGTGAGAGAGTCGTGTGCATTTATCCCAAGCTCACTGTAATTAGACCTGCAGTGACAGGAGAGTTGTTGTTTTCTTCCCCTCCTACAACTCAAGCACACTTTATATCACTTTTATATTTGCAGAGGAAAAAAACCCATAAGCGAGACTGGATGTGCATTACTTATTTGGTCATCTGCATGAAATGGTCTGTTCAGAATGTTGAACTGGAAGGAGTAAACATGGTACTTACCGTGCTGGGTTCACACCCACCATCATCACCATCCTCAGAGCAATCCTCTTGTGCAAATTCCATTTTTCGATTGACGTTGCTAAACAGATGACTCCAATTAGCAGCAGGTGAAAGTCTTTGAAATAAGCAGATGCCACCTGAAATTACAATTAAATTCATGATTATTAATATTGGTGGGGGGAAAAATAACATTGCACAAGAAAGCCATTGTTGGGCTGCTCCTTTGACCTTCAAATAATAGTTTTCTATTTTGTTGAGACATGTCCATGTGTTTGAATACAAATGTAAATATCTTCTACATTCTTACCCATTAATAATTCTGTCAAGAAAAATATACAGAGACCCCCCACGATCGGCAGGAATCGGATCTCCCTCCGCTGCCTTCGCGGGTCAGTCCTGCACCCCCAGGAGAGAACCGCTCCAGGATAGGAGCTTACACCGAGCACGGAGCGGCCGAGTTCCAGCTCCCAGAACCGTCCCGGAACCGCCCTGGCTCAGGGCTGCTGAGCCTGCGGAGGCTGCTTCTTGGACCCTGCTACTATCAGAGCAAACACCAAGCACTAAGCAGCCGAATTCTGGCTCCCGGAACTGAGCCCGCGGGGGCTGCTTCTTGGAGCTTACACTTATAGGAGCTTACACCGAGCACGGAGTGGCCGAGTTCCGGCTCCCGGAACTTCCCTGGACCGGGGCTAGGAGCCCGCGGAAACTGCGTCTCGGTCCGGGTCCTGCTGAGGGCCGGTCAGGACTCACCCGTTGCCTGGGTTGCCCGGCAAGGGGAACAAAATGCTGCCATTCGCATAGGATACCAACATGGCAGAGATCTGATGTCAGCAGAAAGCGGTGGAGGACAGATCTTCATCAATACCAGCGGTGACATAAGCAGTTGGTCTCCTGGTAAGGGGGGTGAGGCTCAGTCACCCGAGTCTCCTCAATTTGTCCTCGAGCCAGAGGGGAGGAGCCGGGCCGCCGCCAGCCCCCGGAGCAGGCCCAACGGCTTGCCAGCGTGGTGACCGCGTGACCCCAATTGGAGAGGGGGCGGAGCGGAGCCGCCACCCACACCCGCCAGGTGGGCAGACCCACAACCCAGTAGTACATGGGCGTGGTAGGAGGGGGCAGGGCAGAGCCGCCCTTTGCGCTTGCAAGGTAAACAGACCTGTGACAGCCTGGCGGGTCACGCCCAGTGGCCTGCCAGTGTGGTACACACGTCACCCCAACTGGAGTAGGGGCAGAGCAGATCCTTCTCCCACGCCCGGATCAGGCCCTGCCGGTGTGGTGGTCACGTGACCCCAATTGGAGTGGGGGCGGAGCGGAACCGCCACCCGTGCCCGCAGGGTGAGCAGACCAGTGATCAACCTGCAGATCAGGCCCAGGGGTCCGCAGGCGTGGTAGGAGGGGCAGGGCAGATCCGCCGCCCGCGCCTTCAAGGTAGGCAGACCTACAACAGACCAGTGGATCAGGCCCAGGAGCCTGCCGGCGTGGTAAAAACACCACCCTAATTGGAGTAGTGACAGAGCAGAGTCGCCTCCCTTGCCAGGAACAGGCCCAGCGTCCTGCAGGCGGGGTAGTCACGACACCCCAATTGGAGTAGGGGCAGAGCAGAGCCTCCACCCGTGCCCGAAAGGTGGGCAGATCTGCGACCGACCAGCGGGACAGGCCCAGTGGCCTGCCGGTACGACAGACACGTCACCCCATTTGGAGTAGGGGCAGAGTAGAGCTGCCGCCCGCGCCTGCAGGGTAGGCAAACCTGCAACCGACCGGCGGATCAGGCCCGGTGGCCTGCCGGCGTGGTACACTCGTCACCCCAATTGGAGTAGGGGCAGAACAGAGCCGCTGCCAGCTCCCAGAACAGGCCCAGTGACCTGCTGGCGTGGTAGCCACGACACCCCAATTGGAATAAGGAGAGAGCAGAGCCGCCGCCCGCACCTGCAGGAAAGATACGCAAGCAGTATGAAAAGACAAGGAAAGAAAGGACCACAAGCAATGAAGGTCAACGCAACTTTAGAAGAGGTAACAGCTGCAGCAGATGGAATGTCAGATAAAGAATTCAGGATATACATGCTTCAGATGATCTGGAGTATCAAGGAAGACATTAAACAGCAAAATCAGACAATGAAAGATCACTTCGACAACGAATTACGCAAACAAATCCAGGAAGCAAAGGATCAACTATACAGGGAGATAGAGGTTATAAAAAACAAACAAACAGAAATCCTAGAAATGCAGGAAGCAATAAACCAACTTAAAAACTCAATGGAGAATACTACCAGCAGAGTAGAACACTTAGAAGATAGAACATCAGACAATGAAGACAAAGTATTTCAACTGGAAAAGAACATAGACAGCTCAGCAAGACTGTTAAGAAACCATGAGCAGAACATCCAAGAAATAAGGGATAACATTAAGAGACCAAACTTAAGAGTCATTGGGATACAGGAAGGTACAGAGCTCCAAACCAAAGGAATGAGCAGTCTATTCAATGAAATAATACAAGAAAACTTCCCAGACTTGAAGAATGAGACAGAATCCCAAATCCTAGAAGCCTACAGGACGCCGAATGTGCAAAATCATAAGAGATCCACACCTAGACACATTATAATGAAGATGCCCAACATACAGAATAAGGAGAGAATTTTAAAAGCTACAAGAGAAAGGAAGCAGATTACATTTAGGGGTAAGCCAATTAGGATAACAGCTGATCTTTCAACACAGACTCTGAAAGCTAGAAGATCCTGGAATAACATATTTCAAACACTGAAAGAAAATGGGTTCCAACCAAGAATTGTGTATCCAGTGAAATTAAGCTTCAGGATGGAGGATGAAATTAAAACCTTCCACGATAAACAAAAGTTTAAAGAATCCGCAGCTAGAAAACCATCTCTTCAAAACATCCTCGCCAAAGCATTACAGGAAGAGGAAATGGAAAATAACAATGAAAACCAACAGTGGGAAGTAGGACAGTAAAGGGGGGGGGATAATCAAAGAGGAAAACAAACCATGTTTAGTAACATAAATAAACAAATATGGCTGGAAGAACAACCCATATCTCAATAATAACCCTAAATGTTAATGGCTTAAACTCACCAATTAAGAGACACAGGCTAGTAGAATGGATCACAAAACAAGACCCAACAATATGCTGCCTACAGGAGACGCATTTGATAGGAAAAGACATACATAGGCTGAAGGTGAAAGGTTGAGAAAAATCATATCACTCATATGGACTTCGGAAACAAGCAGGCGTGTCCATACTCATATCAAATAAAATAGATTTCAAGCCAAAGTTAATCAAAAGAGATAAAGAGGGACACTACATACTGCTTAAGGGAACCATACACCAACAAGACATAAGAATCATAAATATTTATGCCCCAAACAATGGTGCAGCTATGTTCGTCAAACAAACTCTTCTCAAGTTCAAGAGTCTAATAGACCACCATACAATAATCATGGGAGACTTCAACACACCTCTCTCACCACTGGACAGATCTTCCAAACAAAAGTTGAATAAGGAAACTATAGAACTCAATAACACTATTAATAACCTAGACCTAATTGACATATATAGAGTATACCACCGAACATCAAGCAGTTACACTTTTTTCTCAGCAGCACATGGATCCTTCTCAAAAATAGATCATATATTATGTCACAGGGCAACTCTTAGACAATATAAAGGAGTAGAGATAATACCATGCATCTTATCTGATCATAATGGAATGAAACTGAAAATCAACGATAAAAGAAGGAAGGAAAAAGCATACATCACTTGGAGAATGAACAATAGGTTACTGAATGATCAATGGGTTATAGAAGACATCAAGGAGGAAATTAAAAAATTCTTAGAGATAAATGAAAACACAGACACAACATATCGGAATCTATGGGACACATTGAAAGCAGTTCTAAGAGGAAAATTCATTGCTTGGAGTTCATTCCTTAAAAAAAGAAAAAACAACAAATAAATGATCTCATACTTCATCTCAAAATCCTTGAAAAAGAAGAGCAAAACAACAGCAAAAGAAGTAGAAGGCAAGAAATAATTAAAATCAGAGCTGAAATTAATGAAATCGAAACAAAAGAAAGAATTGAAAAAATTGACAAAACTAAAAGTTGGTTCTTTGAAAAAATAAACAAAATCGACAGACCCTTAGCCATGCTAGCGAAGAGAAGAAGAGAGAGAACTCAAATTACTAGCATACGGGATGAAAAAGGCAATATCACAACAGACACTTCAGAAATACAGAAGATAATCAAAAACTATTTTGAATCCTTATACTCCGATAAATTAGAAGATAGTGAAGGCATAGATAAATTTCTTAAGTCATATGATCTGCCCAGATTGAGTCAGGAGGATATAGAAAACCTAAACAGACCAATATCAATTGAGGAAATAGAAGAAACCATAAAAAGACTACCAACTAAGAAAAGCCCAGGACCGGATGGGTATACAGCAGAGTTTTACAAAACCTTTAAAGAAGAACTAATACCAATACTTTTCAAGCTACTTCAGGAAATAGAAAAGGAGGGAGAACTTCCAAATTCATTCTATGAGGCCAACATCACCCTGATACCTAAACCAGACAAAGACACTTCAAAGAAAGAAAACTACAGACCAATATCTCTAATGAACCTAGATGCAAAAATCCTCAATAAAATTCTGGTGAATTGGATACAAAAACATATCAAAAAAATTGTACACCATGATCAAGTAGGATTCATCCCTGGGATGCAAGGCTGGTTCAATATACGGAAATCAATAAATGTTATTCACCACATCAATAGACTTAAAAATAAGAACCATATGATCATCTCGATAGATGCGGAAAAAGCATTCGACAAAGTACAGCATCCCTTTATGCTCAAAACTCTAGAAAAACTAGGGATAACAGGAACATACCTCAATATTGTAAAAGCAATCTATGCTAAGCCTCAGGCTAGCATCATTCTGAATGGAGAAAAACTGAAGGCATTCCCTCTAAAATCTGGAACAAGACAGGGATGCCCTCTCTCTCCACTTCTCTTCAACATAGTTCTCGAAACACTGGCCAGAGCAATTAGACAGACGAAAGAAATTAAAGGCATCAAAATAGGAAAAGAAGAACTTAAATTATCACTATTTGCAGATGGTATGATTCTA